GCCGACGCTAGTAGTTTAGTCATTGGCGCAGTCCTATCTCAGGAGGATAACGATTGCGTCAAACACCCAGTCTGCTTTACAAGCAGAACCCTTTCCAAAAGCGAGCGCAATTATTGCACATGCCGCCGTAAATTGCTGGCGACAGTCACTTTCATCCATCAGTTTAAAGACCTCCTCATCGGCCACACCCCACGCTTCGCACTGACCATCGAGCATTAGAGTGGCTCCAAAGACCCCATGAACCAAATCGCTCGGGGGCAAGAGTTTTTCCAAAATTTCGACTACAAATGCGAGTACCGCTCCGGTCGTAAACATGATAACGCGGACGCGTTCTCCCGCCTCCCTTGGTGGCCATCACCTGACGAGGACTCGTACTCCCTCAGCGCAAACGAGATCCACATCGCCGAACCCACTCGCCATACATGGTCCGAAGCTCAGATTTCTGCCCCCGACACTGCACTAGCTTACCACCACATTTCACAGGGGCTACCCAGGCCGTCGGAACGTCAGATGAGAGGGTGTAGCCAAAACGCTCAATTTCTTCGCAACCACTGGGCCAACCTCCTCGTCTCGAATGATATTCTATTTTGGCGCAATCCACACACTCAGCACTTGCGGGCGGCTGTTCCCGGGTCCTTAGTTGAACCAGTCCTTGATAGCCTCCATGTGGAGCTGGGAAACTGCGGTCGGTTCAAAACCGAAGCGGCAGTCCGTGCCCGAAGGCAGCGGTTTCGTTGAACGGACGAACAGGACCATCAACAACCTTCTTCTGGCTTTCTGTGAGGAGAACCACCGTCATGATTGGGACTTACACCTTTCCTTCTGCCTCATGGCTTACAGAGCCTCCATACACTCATCCACCAGGTTCACCCCACATTATCTGTGGACCGGGCGCGATCTACGTCTCTCCGTCGATTTATCCTTCCCACTCCCATCTCCCGACGACACTGCCGTCCACGATTTGGCCACACACCTCAGCGAGACCAATCACACGGTCCACAACGCAGCTCGTGCTACTCTTGGCATAGCCTCCACTCGCCAGAAGGAATACTTCAGCCGCCATACAGCCGAGAACCCATTCCAGGTTGACGACCTTGTGATGCATGCGAACCCCCCTCACGGTATTTCTTGAAAATTCCATCACCCGTGGCAGGGCCCCTTTACCGTTCTGCAAGTTCTATCCCCCACCACCTACGTCATCCGCAATACAACCCACCCTGATTTACCCGCGTTTACCTGCCACTTCTCTAAACTCAAACCCTAACGCGGTGAACCTCCTATTTCTACCCCCGACACCCTCCCCATTATCCCCGATGGACTGCTACCTCCCGAGTTCCTTCTCCTAACTGTACAATCCTCGACACTCCTCTCGACACCTTACCCATTGCCCCCGACACCTGCTACCTACCGTTGCAATCGAAGTGAAAGTCTCCTCTCCTACCACCAACACCAGCACTGAGGACAGTGCTGTACCTTGAGGGGGGCTATGTAACCGGCCAAAATGACCCACTGAACTTCATTTTTGTTCTAGGTCACTTTTTCAACTTTCAGAGTCCCCGCTGAGTCACGTTCTACGCTAGGCAACCGAACTTCCTTCGCTTCACATATCGGATTATCACCGTTCTCGTACCGTTCATACCATTTCCTAGTTTGAATTTTTCCTTCACTACCAGTTTTATATCGCTAGAGGCTTCTTTCGGATACTTTTCCTACTGTAATATTACCAGTTTTCCTATCGATCTCTCTTCCAACATAGAGTTTCGTTATACCACTTTTTCCAACGTTACATACTGTCACTATATCGTTAAATTAAATCAATATCTACATCCGCACATTATCTTTCTTATCTGCTACGTATTTGTCCCAATGCCCGAGAAAGCTGAAGTTATGTCTGCTGCTCGTTCTGAGGTCGACCGTATTTTAGAGGAGATATCTGTATTGTCCACGGGGAATAACCGACCACCTCCATTAGCAAGTCTCGCGCCGGTCCTACCCAGGTCACGTATAGACAAGAAGACCCATGGTGGGCTTCCGCTTTGTCTGGGGCTGAGATTAGTGAACCGTCTTGACAAGTTCTCGTGCAGCTGTTGGAAGAGTTCGCCTCAATGTGACGTTAACACTCATGTCCTGAAACACTCAATTACCACTGGGATGCTAGACCGATCCACCAGGCTCCTCGTCGCATTCCTGTTTTTTACAAAAAGTACCTCAAGAAAATGATCCAGGATATGTTGGATAAAAAGATCATCCAGCCCTCATGCTCCCCCTGGACGTCGCCTATTGTGCTTGTCAAGAAGAACGATGGTTCGCTCCGGTTGTGGGTCGATTATCGTCGCTTGAATGCCATGACTAAATGCGACTCGTTTCCACTGCCCCGCATTGATGACACTATTGATGCGGTCTCGGGAGATAAATGGTTCTCGACCTTGGCTCTCGCGTCCGGGTACTGGCAGGTTGACGTTCAGCCAGCTGATCGGGCAAAGACTGCTTTTGTGGTCCTCTCCGGCCTCTGTGAGTTCAACGGGATGCACTTCGGTTTGGCAAACGCACCAGCCACCTTTCAACGGCTGATGACAACTGTTTTGCACGGTGTAACACCGACGTCGTGCCTAATTTATTTGGATGACATCATTGCCCACGGCACCTCAATCGAGGACCAGAACCCGAAGCTGCGAGCAGTTATGTCCAGACTGAAGCACGCTGTTCGTGTGTCGCACGGCCAATTGTTAGCTGTTGCAGAAGCAGACAATATTGCTGGAGCACGTCTTATCGGCTTCTGGTATACATCCGGACCCCAGCACCAACTCTCGTATCCTCGAGTGGCCAACTCCCAAGAGGCCGCAAGAATTTTGTAGTTTTGTCGGCCTCGCGTCCTACTATCGGAAGTTTGTTTGGGATTTCGCTGGCATTGCCGCGCACCTACACCGTCTGACTGAAAATTCACAACCCTTCCTTTGGAAGAACGAGTGCGAACAGGACTTCATTCAACGCAAACAGGCTTTGACTTTTCCACCCATACTCAGCCCATCGGACGTTTTCCAATCAGTCGGTGAATTCATCCTGAATACTGATGCCAGCGATATGGCCATTGGAGATGTTTTGTCTCAAACAGCAGACGATACAGAGAAGGTGATTGTATTCGCCAGCAGACAATTGACCAAACCCGAACGGCTATATAAAACGACCCGGCGTGAGATGTTAGCTTTGGTCTACTTAGTCAAATACTTTCGTCCCCAATCTCCTGGGCCGTCACTTTTTAGTTCGTACGGGCTATAATGCTCTCTAGTAGCTGCAGAAATACCGCGAACCCGAGGGACAGGTTGCACGTTGGCAGGAACAACTGCAGGAATACGATTATACCTGCGCCTACCGCCCTGGCTACATACCCCTCAACGCAGACGGTCTGTCGCCACGCCCGGAAGATGCAATTGAAACAGTGAATACCGTTCATACGTCTGATGATGCACATTAATGGGCTACCCTCCAGGCAGTAGACCCCGATGTTGGTGACATCTACGACCGGCAGTTACATGGTTCTCGCAAGCCGACCGGTAGACAGATAAAAGGGAAGTCAGCCGCAT